TTGGGTGAGAAGGCATTTTCTTCATCAACAAACATAAAAACTAAGGAAAGGAATTGTCTTCAGCTGGAATCTGACTTAATTCTGTCAATAAACACTCTCCAGCCACGAGTGCAAAGATTAATGGCAGAGAAGCAGGCACAAGTTTCCCATTAAAAGTGTGGTAAGTGGGTGTACTTTATCATTTTTTTCCTTTTTTTTGTCATTAAGTTTTTGATACCTTGATAAGCCACTGGTGGTACTCAAATATTGTCATGTCCTAAAGATGGTACAGTCTGTGAAAAGGTTGAAAAGCCCTGCTTAGAGGTATAGCTATAACATACATGGTGGAAAAAAAAACAAAGAAAAAAGACAACAATATATACTGTTAAAAATTTAAAAAAACTAGAATTAGAACTACAAATAAATCCACAAAAGAAAATACCGAAAAGACAAATGGAAATAATAAAACATAAATTAAATTTAATAGAATCAGAAAAATTGGCACAGCAAATTAAAAGAACAAAACAAAACTTTTTTGAAAATGCAAATAAACCAGGAAGATGGCTAGCTTACAAACTCAAAAAACAAGGAGAAAAAATTGATAAATAACTTAATAGATGAAAAAGGCTGTTTATAATTTAAAAATGAAGCAATAAAAAAGATAATGGATATTATGAGAAACTGTATAATATAGAAGAAATTTCATGGGAGAAAATTCCTTACAATATGAAAAAAATAATTTACCAAAAATTCCAGAAAACTTTAAAACTATGTTAAATGAGAAAATAACAGTGATGGAACTGACAGAGGCTATAATAAGAGGAAAAAAAACACCGGGACCAGATGGGCTTCCAGCAGAATTGTATAAATGTCTACAAGACACATTAAGTGTACCGTTGAAAGATGTTTGTAATGAACTTTTGTTGGAGGTGAAACTCCCAAACATATGGACAGTAGCAAATATTACTTTGATACCAAAAGAAGACTCAGACCTGACACAGATAAAAAATTACAGACCGCTATCATTACTAAATATGAATTATAAAATCTTTACTTTAATAATAGAGACTGAAAAGATTTCTAACTGAATTTATACATCCAGATGAAAATGGATTTCTACCAAAGAGACAAATAAAAAATAATTTAAGAGTTATAATGGACATATTGGAATATTATGAAATGCATCCAGGGAACAACTGGCATTAGTATTTCTAGATGCTCAAAAGGCATTTGATAATGCTTCCTGGCAATTTATGACTCAACAACTAAAAACAATGGACTTTGGAAAAATTTTATAAATATGATTACAACAATATATCACAAACAAACAGAAAAAGTGATTGTAAATGGAGATTATGCAGAGAATTCCAACATAAGAAAAGGCACAAGACAAGGATGTCCACTATCTCCATTGTTATTTATTTTATCTTTGGAAGTTTTAAATAGAAAGACCCAGAAATTAAAGGACTAGAAATAAAAGGTGAAACTTATAAATTGCAAGCATTTGCAGATGACTTGGTATTCACCCTAGAGCAGGGGTAGGCAACCCAAAACACTCAAAGAGCCACTTGGACCCGTTTCCCACCAAAAACAAAACACCGGGAGCCGCAAAATCCTTTTGATATCTAAAATTAAGATAACACTGCATATATCCTTTTTTACCTTTATTATAGGTGTGTGTGTGTGTTTGTGTGTGTGTGTATGTATGTGTATATATATATATGTATATATTTGTTTTCTGACCTACATATGTATGTATGTATGTGTGCGTGTGTGTGTATACACACACACACACACACACGCACACACACATTAAAAATAAAAATATGACTTTTGGGAATATCCATATTATTAAAACAATGATCACCAAGAGAATGCTTTAAGAGAATAAAATTACATACACACACAGGTAAAAAAAGGATATTTGCAGTGTTATCTTCATTTTAGATGTCAAAAGGGTCTCTCTCTGTGTGTGTGTCTCTCTCTCTCCCTCCCTCTCTATCTGCCCTTGGTCTGCCACTCCTCTTCCCCCACTCTCTTTCTTTCTCTCTCTCTCTCCCTCCCTCTCTCTTCCCCCCCCCCTCCTATCTGCTGCTCACCTGGCAAGCTTCAAGCTGTTGTCCAACAACTCAGGGGTAGGCAACCTCATCTCTTTTATGACTCATGGACTTCAACTCCCAGAATTCCTGAGTCAGCCTAACTGGGCTAGCTAGCTCTCTCCTGCCCTTCCTGCTTCCTGCTTCCTGCAGAGACGCAGCAAAGGGAGGAGCTCCACCCAGTAAGTTTTTCAGATCCTCGGAGAACACTGTGAGTGCATTCTCTTTTACACATACACACACAAACACACACACACACACAGAGAGAGAGTGAGTGAGGGAGTGAGAGTGAGAGTGAGAGAGAGAGAGAGAGAAAAGCAGGGAAGCGCAATTGCCTCTCTCTGTCTCTGTCTCTCTCTGCAAAGGCAGAGGAGGCTGGGAGCCACAGGGGAAGGCTCAAAGAGCCGCATGCGGCTCCGGAGCCACAGGTTGCCGACCTGTGCCCTAGAGGAACCTTTAGAAATGATTCCTAAATTATTAGAAAAGATAGAACAGTTTGGAGAGATAGCAGGACTGAAGATAAACAGAGAAAAACCCAAAGTGATAGTTAAAAATCTTACAGATAAACAAAAAAAAACCAAATATCAGAAAAAATAGAATTATAAATAGTCAAAAAGGTTAAATACTTGGGAATATACCTGACAGCAAGATGTTCAACGATAAAGGAAAATAACTATACAAAATTACCGAATCAAATAAAACGTGACTTGGAAAAATGGAAAAACTTGCAACTGTCAATGTTGGGAAGAATTGCTACGATGAAAATGAATATATTACCAAAAATATTGTTTTTATTTCGAACTAGCTATTCCTGGCCACGTGTTGCTGTGGCTCAGTCTGGTTAAATGGAAAAGAAAAGAGAAAGCGCACGTTTGTAATATGTTTAATTTCACAATGTTTGTGGGTATACAATTTTTTTTTTGTTCCGTTGTCTGTGCAGATATAGAGATTGTCTGAAATCGTAGCGTGTATTGCTTTTATGTCCAACAGATGGTGGTTTTTCAAAAAAAGCATGTTTTTACCTGTCACAAGTGTGACATCTATATAATATAGGTATATAAAAACACGCACGTATTCGAATGCAACATTGTGTCAAAATTTCAAAGCAATCAGTGAAGAACTTTCGGAGATTTAAGATTTTGAACAAACGAACATTTACATTTTTATTTATATAGATGATACTTATAAAGCTGGAGAAAAAAATTCTTTGAAGACTTAAATTCTCTAATTTTAAAATTTATTTGGCAAAGAAAGAAAGCTAGAATTAAATTGAAAATGTTACAAGAAGCTAAGGAAAATGGAGGTTTTGGCTTGCCAGAGTGGGTTTTATATTATCAAGCATCAGTACTAACATGGGTAAAAGAATGGATAACTCTTAGAAATAAGAGATGACTTATAACTCGGTTGGCACACTTTCTTATGGTATGGGAAAAACAAAATTCATAAATATTTTCAAAACCACTATATTAGTAATGCATTATTACTAACATGAGAAAAAATAAAATGTAAAATATACTTGAAAATTCCAGGATGGCTTTCAACAATGGAAGCATTTGTACATCCAAATTTAGTCAGTCTTGAGAAAATATGGACATATAAAGATATCTAAACTCTGAAGGGAATTTAAAATCTAAACAAGAGATGGAAAATCAAGTTATTGATCTATCATGGTGGGCATATTTACAAATGCAAGTGAGATATGACAAAGATGTTAAACTGTATGGATTTTATAAAGAGTACACCTTGTTTGATCAGATATTATTAACCTCTGATGAGAAACTACTTAAGAAAATGTATAACTTTTTATTGAATTTGAAAATGGAAAATGAACACGTAAAAGAAACAATGATAACGTGGGCAAAGAATTTTGGATACAATATAGATTTAGAGAAATGGCAAGAAATTATAAATTGACAATGTCAACCTCTTACAAAGAAAACATATAAAATGTTTTATAGATGGCACTTGCTAGCAAAAATGTTTAAAAATATGTCAGATAGATGTTGGAAATATAATCATAAGTCAGGTACTTATTATCATGTACGGTGGACATGTGTTAAAGCAAAGAGATATTGGACAAAAATACATAATTGGCTAGAAAAGATGTTGGGAAAACATGTAGATTTTAAACCTGAACTTTTTTTATTAGGTATAATGACAGAAAAGCTTGACAAACAAAGTATATACTTGATTTTACATGTGATAACAGCGGGAAGAATCATATTCACACAACATTGGAAAAATGAAGAAATACCACCAGAGGAAGAAATAATAAAAAAATATTAGATTGTGCGGAAATAATAATAATAATACTCTGAGGTTGAAAGAAAAAGAAGAAACAGAATATCTTCAAACTTGGGACTTATTTTATCAATGGCTGGAGAAAAGAATAAAGGATTAGGAATTCAATTTGTATTAGTGAATGATAAACTCACTAAAGTTGGTAAGTTGAATAAATACTTTTGAATTATATTAAAAAATAAATAAGAACTTAAAAAAACAATAAAAGAGATAGCATTTTACCCAGCTACTTTTTTTTATTTGGCCATTAATAGAATTTATTTTTTGTTACTTTGGAAGCTTAATACGTTTCATAAGAATTGAATCTACTCTGGAAGTGATAATCTATTATTGTTTTGTTTACTGCTTTATTTGTTTTGCAATTCTGAAGGCAAATCTGAAGATTATTTGTTTGATATGGACATTATTCTACAAAACCAGTATAAAATGAAAAAATAAATGTGCCATTAGCAGTTCAAAAATAAAGGAAGCATGGAAACTGTGTTCACAGTAGTGTGAAATTATAATTTCTTAATTGATTACTATAATCAATATAAGAACACTCAGCACATAAGCAGATAATCTTCTTTTATTATGCTATGAAAGTAAAGAATTTAATAAGCAAATTAATAAGCTTTTAAATACCTTCACAATCTGTATTCCCATGGAATCATCATCAGGATTACTTTGGTCATTGAAAGTGAAACGCATAGTTTTATCCCAGTCAATTGCTATACTCTTTAAATAGTGATCTGCCAAGGTGAGCCAAACCTTAAAAGATATACCACAAACAATCTTAGCTTTGCTTGAAATTGGTTGTATTTTACAACTATTCAAAAATATTCTGTGTATTTAATATGTTGCCATCAATTGTATATAGAAGCATAAATGTGTTCACTTATCCTAAAATTAAGAAAGAGACAGAATGTACCATGCCGTTGGAATGTGACCAGGAATTCTGAAAATATACAGCATGCAGACTTAGCATCTTCCTCTCTTTAGACTTTGTGTTTTCTGTGGAGGGGCAGGAAGCTAAATTAGATAGTCACATTATAGATGCACCATGTCTCTATGCTGCACCTACCCAGCTTTAGCCTTTTTATGTTCAGACAATAAGCTAAACTGAGCTGGGATTTTTAAAACAATGATCAGAGCAAGTAGGCATGGCTTTTAGTTAACTACCATTGGTATATATCTATGTACTTTTATTATTGAAAAAAATAGAAAAAAGTGTACATATGAATACACATTTACACACTCCTATGCAAGCAGAGTGAATACAAATGTGTGAATTGCACTCAGTCAATTCTACAGTATAGTGAACTGATTTCATTGAATCATTTTGATATGAAGTGCAAACTTTGTCCAAACTGAATCAATGCATATGATGAATCAACTTAATTAGACTAACAACTGAAATTGGCAACTGATTTAGGAAATCAGTTTGATCATGCAAAAGAACTGCTTTTCTGTTAAATCTCTGAGCCAAACATTCACACAGCCTTAAAAATTATAGCTCACCTACATGTAACATATGATAGCAGGCTCATTCCAAAAATTCTTAATATACAAGTCTTTTTCCAAAATAGAGTTCTGTATAGCTTATTCAGTAACGTTAAAAATAGTATAATTTGACAGTTTGAAATTCGGCTGTCAGTTTATACCATTCAAGCCTTCATCTTTTCTTAACTGCAAATTATTAATAACTACTGTCATCTAAATCCATTTTTCATAGGTAGATTAAATTCAGGGGGAAATAGAACTATAACATGGAATATAGAAAAAGAAAATCTACCATCTATACACAAAAAAGATATTTAGCAGTCCTACTTTTTTATGCATTTCAGGGATTCTTTTGGAAGCGAGATAATCTAACTAACCACCTGACTATGATCTGTGACTTCCCTCATAGGAATAACATTTCTACCAGCAAGATGTAAGTATATGGATGGAAATTATTTGTTTAAATAATTCCAAGCATATAACTAGGAAGCTTTAATATATGTCCCACACAGAAATATACTTAAAAATAACTTTGAAGTAATATTATTTTCTAAATCTACTTCTTTATTCAGCTTATTTCACACAATAAAGTTTACAATGATATCAAATATTCATAATTAAAAACTATATGCTAAATTAAAGTAAATTACCTAGTTCATAGCTAGGAAATACTTATATACAGGGAAATGTATAAGTTTATGGTGAGATATATTAGCCATTTAACAATATGATCACTTTAGAATTGATTCAACAAAATTTCTTAGAAGTATTTTCCAGGTTACACACCCCACCCCCCACCCCCCACCCCGTGTGTTCAAAATGGAATATTTCAACAAGCCATAAACATGAATCTAATCTGTGGATAAATATGTTTAACTACTTGTTGAAACTACATCACAACTCTAGCAGACTGACCCATCTAATTTTGGCATACAATTACAAATATTTCTTGGAAAGAGTGATCCAAAAGAAACTGAGCCTACAAATGGTTGTTAATAATTCTTGTTCTTAAGGGATAGTTTTCTGATCATTTTATTGATCATGTTTTTATTGATCAATGACCAAAATAAAATTCTGTCTATTAGCAGGTGTTTATTTTAGAATTTTTGCATTTCCTAATTTAATTGGACTTTTAAAATTACCTTTCTATTGCTACAACATAAAAAAAGAACATCTTTTCTAGTCTATTTGTTAATCCCATTTTCAGTACTTTTCTAAGAAGGACTTTGTTTAATTAGAAACTTTTACTGGTATCTAGCCTATAGCGTTAAATACATGGAAGTTTTCATTGCTGGAATAAACAGCAGCTATTTATCTTTAATCCAGAGCTTCACATAATGTTGATCACTATACATTCAATGAAGGACAGGAGTTTACTTACCTTTCTTCTCCACTCCTTTGGAATTCCTGTTGACAGCCTAGCCACTGCTTTGAGAGCATCATGCCACTAAAATCAACCATCCCAACAGTGTTAAATTATTCCAATTCAACATAAAATGCAGGTGATCCTTGACTTACAATCATTCATTTAGTGACCATCTGAAGTTACAACACTGGAAAAAGTGATTTACAATCGATACTCACACTTAAACCATCTCTTACTGTTACATGATCAAAATTCGGGCACTTGGCAATTGCATGTAGTTATGACAATTGCAGTATCCTGGGATCACATGATAACCATTTGCGACTTTCCCAGTCGGCTTCCAACAAGCAAATTCAATGGAAAAAGCCAGATTTGCTTAAAAACCAGGGCAAAAGTTATTGTAAAATTGGGTCTGATTCATTTAATAACTGCCTTGCTTAACAGTGGAAATTCTGGTCTCAATTGTGATTATAAGTTGAGGACAACATGTATTTCAATATTATGGAAGCAATATGTATCATTAAACCAGAGGTCACCAACCTTTTCATGCTGGTGGCCCGGAGGGAAAGGGAGCAGCTGGGAAATTTGCACACGCACGCGAACAGGGCCATGCATAAATGGGGCTATGCATGGATGGGGCCTTGTGCACCCTCACGGCGCTAGCATCCCCGTTTGTGCATGCACACATGTGCTAGCTGCCGCTGCCGTTAGCCCCACATGCATGTGAGAATGGGCCATGCAACCCGCATGGCGCTAGCGGCCCTGTTTGCACATGCACACAGCTGCTAGCTGCCGCTTCTGCTAGCGCCTCACGCATGCATGAATGGTTCTAGCACAAGTGGGGGTAAGTGCATGCACTAGCCAGCCTGTCCCACAGCCCGGTGGCCAATAGGCCACAGCCCAGCACTGGGCTGCATATCATAGGTTGGGGCCCCTGCATTAAACTATTTGGCCACAAAATATTTAAATATAATTGCAAAACAGAGAAGAAAAAGGTGCTATGTATTTACTTATACAAGAACTGCAAAAATATACAATCGATTTTAATATTTTGAGCTTCTTTCTGTTGAAAAAATAATTCCCACTAAGAAAAAATCAAAACAAAATGGAACAAATGCAATTATTCAGTTTTTTCAAATAATATAATACATCCCAGCTTTAATTAATTAATGCTGCTTTTAAATTATTATTGGAAAAATATTTAAACTTATTATTTCATAATTATCTTTACTTAAAGTAGTAAGGATTTTTTGTAAGACAATTTATTGCAATGAATAAAAATCAGTTACCTGCTGAAAACCATTCTGACCTAATGATGGCTCAAGTGTAAACTTCAACTTTGTGTCCACTCCTATGTAACACAAATAGAAAACAATTATTAGTATCTTCATTTATAGATTGAAACTGCATCACATTAGATAGCATAATATAAAGTTGATATGCCAAATTAATGCAGGGATAACATAACATAATATCAATATTGCTATATAAAAATAATGCAACTTTTTACAGTGAATTATATTATTATTAATATGCCACCTGACTTTAAACAAATATTCTGAATTAAAAACAAATATGGAGAAAAAAATTAAAATATGGGATATGATAAATCTCTTTCTGCATAAACACAATATTTTACACATGAAATAACATAATGTCACATAGTGACATTCCAATGATGAAGCCTGGAGGCAGATTTGGTAGAGAAATTTGTCTAAGGCAAATCTCCCCTTGCTGGACTTCCCAGACCTGTCATCTGGTCTGATGGGAGAGTGATGATTAGACCCTTACCTCTTTTCACAGACCACTGGCAGCAGCCTGTGCACTGATTATACATAGTTCTGATAAGAAGAGATGCTGTTTCCAAGAATTAACACATCTGGGTCACATTCACACTCTGACCACATCACTGAAGCAAGTCTCTGGCTCATATATCTTCATGAATGTGGCTCAAACAAGTGCTAGCTCTGAGGACATATGCACTCATAGCATACAAACACACACAAGCACATATAGCACTGATGTGATCACAGCAGACACATATAGCTCAGACAAATGAAAAGTGCTATTCTTTTCCACTTGTCATACCACTGCTTTCCTAGAAGCTAAAGTGCTCTTTATGTTAACAATTCCTATGAGAAACTGGACTTTTGCTACTGTCTATGGCAGTGGTTCTCAACCTTCCTAATGCCGTGATCCTTTAATACAGTTCCTCATGTTGTGGTAACCCCCAACCCCCCATCCAGCTGGCCGGGGAGGGGGGGGCAGGAAGGTCGCTCCGCCGGCTCCACCCAGCCTGGTTGGAGAAGCGCCATTCCTCTCCCTCTTTCTCTTTCTTTCCTCTCTCTCTCTTTCTATCTTTCCTCTCTATCTCTTTCCTCTCTCTCTTTCCTCCTCTCTTTCTTTTCTCTCTTTTCCTGTTTCTTTCCTCTCTCTTTCTCTTTCCTTTCTCTCTTTCCTCTTTCTTTCCTCTTTATCTTTCTCTTTCCTCTCTTCTTTCTCTTTCCTCTCTCTTCTCTCTCTCTTTTCCTCTTTCCTCTTTTTCTTTCCTCTACCCGTTTCTCTTTCCTCTTTTTCTCTTTCTCTTTCTCTTTCCTCTCTCTTTCTCTTTCTGTTTCCTCCCTTTCTCTTTCTATCTCTTTCCCCTCTTTCTCTTTCTCTCTCTCTTTTCCTGTTTCTCTCTCTTTCCTCTCTTTCTTTCTCTCTTACGGCAGCACCGTTGGGGGTCCCAGCTGCCCCTGGCCCAGCCTCTGCCGCATCCTCAGCTGAATGGGCAGGGAGGGGGAGCAGGATGGGAGGCAGTGGCAGCGGCCACTGCTGTATTGTTGGGGGTCCCTGCCGCCCCTGGCCCAGCCGACGCCCCCGTGTTGCCCGGCCTCACCCTCCGCCCATACGATGGAGCCACGGTGGGGGCTGGTGCCGCGTGGTCCCTGCCAGCCCCTATGCCAGCCCGGCTGCTCCCCCCAGGCACCCCTTTTGCGCCAGCGCCCGCCTGAGCCACCTTGGGGGCAGTAGGAGGAAGAAGGGGAGGAGGAAGAGGATGGCAAGGAAGCCGCCGCCAGCGCTGGGCCCCAGGAAGCAGCTGTCTTCTCCTACCTTTTGCTGAATCTCCTTCTTCCTTCCCAGCAGCCTGGACTCCGGCGTGCCTTCCCGGCCAGGGGGGCCAATGGTCGGGCTGGCTGGGGATTGGAGGGGGTGGTCTCCCTTGGGCCGCAGCTTGCAGGAGGGCTGGCCCACTCAGCAGAGCCTCCAGCAGGCAGCTCCCAGCAGGGATCCCAGGGCTTCCCCGGGCGGCTCCAAGGCCACGAGGCCCTGGCGGCGCTTCTCCCAGGGGGTGGGGCACCCGGGCGCAGGGCCAATCAGGAGCCCTGCAGGAGGTAAGTCCGCCTGAGAGAGAGAGAGAAGGGAAGCGAAAATGCCTCTCTGTCTCTCTCTGTGCAAATGGTGGAGGAGTGTGGAATTAGTTGCATAAATATGCCCATAGACATGCTCCCACAAAGTCCTTGAGATAACAAACGGACTGCTCCAGACACGGAACACATTCATCAGCCATTTGGACAGGGTCTGATAAGAACACGGGAAGCAGGATGCATGAATCATTACCCACCTGCATAGCCTTGCATCTGGAGAGTGTCTGTTATGTGATACATTGTAACCACCCCTATATATGTCTTTTGATTACGCTGTGTGATGTAAAAATTATAGTAACAATAAAATAGGGTGTTGGAGTCAGCTCTGGGCTCCCATCCCGAGATACCTGCATGCATGTCTCATTCTCCATGGGAGACCACCACATCTGGTGACCCCGACGTGATCCACTGAGGGATACGTCCCTGCCGACCCTTTACTTATCGCCTGGAATAGGCTTGGTGCACCCGACGAAGTTGCTGGCAACTGACTCCTCTTCGTAAGTATGGGGGGTGGAATGTCTCACGCTCAAAAGCAGCATGTGGAAGAGCTGAGGCTACTTGGCAGGAAAAAATATCTTACTGATCAGGAACAGAAATTAACCCGTCACCTTTCTAAATCTGAGGCTGTTAAATTGCTTGCTTACGTATGGGCTAACTGCTCATCCTATCCGGAGTCTGGATCTTTAAAAGTAGATACATGGAGGAAAATCGGCGCCGTCCTCCATCAGTCTCCGAGAGCCCCCCCAGAGATTTTGTGCCTTTGGAAAATTGCCTATACCCTGATTCAAACCCATGCTGACTTGCCTCATCAGCCTTTATTAGACCCTCCACCGTACAAAAGTCCGTCTGTTATGTTGGCCACTCCCTTGCCACCTGGAGCCGGTTTTAACCCTCCTTCTGCCCCTGCAAATTCTATGGATCCTGATAAACAACAAACAGCCTCTCCTGTTCCTGCCACGTTGCCACCTGTCTCCCGGCCCGGAATCATCCGTGGCGCTTTTCAAAAGGCTTTGAACAATGGTGATTTGAGCGTTTCTGAACTATCCGAGACAGAGTTGTTCCCTGTTACTTATCAACAGACCGCAGCAGGCATAGTGGTTGATTGGGAAGCACTTCCCCTGGCTATGATCCGAGAATTGAAAAAGGCTACAAAAGATTATGGCATAACCAGTCCCTATACTAGAGGACTGATACACTCAGTTGCTAGCGCATATCGAATGTTGCCTCAAGATTGGAAAGATCTGTTCCGCATGCTTCTTAACGGAACGCAATACGTAGTTTTTGAATCTGAATATAAGAGAGAGGCACAAAACAGAGCTAATCACCCAGGTTCACAATGGACAGCAGAACAACTCTTCGGAGAAGGCAATTTTGCTACCCTTAATGCTCAGGCTCAAACTTTTACTCCCTCTGCATTTCCAATTATTAATACTTGTGTTCTTTCTGCCATGGCTCGTGTTGATGAGTCTGGCACCCCGATTCAATCTTTTTCTGCCATTCGCCAAACTGCAACTGAATCCTATGCAGACGTTGTGAATCGCCTGCAAGTTGCCATTGAGCGTCAAATTTCAAACAGAGATGCAGCAAATGAAATCCTCATAAAATTGACTTATGAACATGCAAATGCGGACTGCCAGTCCATTCTTAAACCACTTGTTTCCAGTCCCACGCCACCCTAGTGGACTTTCTTAAAGCCTGCCGCATTGTGGGAACCAATGCTTTTCAAATGGACACTCTTGCAGCCGCAATCCAAAAGGGGAATCAACCCCAAGGCGCTTGCTTCAATTGTGGAAAACCTGGTCATTTTAAAAAGCAATGCAGAGCCCCAGGAGCCGGCGCGGCTCAACCCGCTGCCATCCCCGGAGCCAAGCCCAAAACTGTGTGCCCAAAATGTAAAAAGGGTTTTCATTGGGCCAATCAGTGCCGTTCCTCTCAGTCCAATCGGGGAAACTAACAGAGGGGTCTGCAGCTAACCCCTCTCCAAAGGCTGCATCCTTTTCAGACCTTACTTCTGCTTCGCAATATTTTTCTGGCATTGATTTAAAATTGGCTTCTGATCTTTCTGTTACTTTTCCCAACCTACTCACGGTTGCTGAAACCCTTTATTCTGGACCCTTGCCTCCGGAAACGGAGGGAATGATCCTTCCCGCGCCTGTTGCTCGGGAACAAGGAGTGTTTGTGCTTCCAGGTATGATAGATCCCACGTATAGAGACACCCTAAAAGTCCAATTTTATACCAATCTCCCTGTCACAATGAACCGGGGGGATACGGTGGCACGCTTGGTTTTATTACCACGTGCAGCACCATCCATTCCAGAGGCTGCATATGCACCTCACTCTGGGAATTCTTCCTCTGATTTATTGGCACTAACAAAGCAAATTACTCCCCAAAAACTGGTGATGCCTTTTTTAATCAATGGCATTCTCTTCTCTGGTCTTGTAGACTCTGGTGCGGATGTCTGTCATAAGAACAGCTGAATGGCCCTCTAACTGGCCCCTCGAATCCTCACTGGCAGTCAGGGGAGTGGGAGGACTTCAACAAGCAAGCTCCAGTAAAAATTGGCTTACTGCACAACGAATCACAAAAGGCATTTCTGCTAAATTTAAACCTGTCATCCTCCCTCTTCACACAAATTTATGGAGCAGAGACTTACTCTCTCAATTTAATGCGAAGTTAACTCTGGAAGACTAATAATGCCTCCTTCACCCATGAAGCTTACGCTCCTTTCTGACACCCCCGTGTGGGTAGACCAATGGCCACTGACTTTAGAAAAACAGGAAGCATTGCAGAAACTGGTATATCAGCAAATACAATCTGGCCATTTGGAACAAAATACCAGTCCTTATAACACCCCAGTATTTGTAGTCAAGAAAAAATCAGGCAACTGGATAATTATTCATGATTTACGCCTCATTAACATAATAATTAAACCCATGGGTC